TGAGTTCCTGTAATTTCAAAAACACCCCAGTGCCTGCAAGAAAGAGAAATACAGAATCTACTCCTTGCGACGTTGCTTGACACTATTTGAACCCAAGTCATCTGGGTACATAAATCTTGGCTAAAAAGTCTTCAGAGTTTTTGTCTTATTTATTATTAGTTTTTGATGCGCATGGGCAAGAACTTGGTGAGAGAGCAGTCTCTCTCTCAATGAGGTGTCAGCAGTGGGTTTGTTCTGTCTTGTCTCCTCGCTTCTATCTGGAGTTGTCCTGTGGAATCGAGAGTGCCAAATGCTGCTAGAGAGAAGGAGCCATCTTCAGAGGTCCTACAGTGATTTCTGCTTCAGGCTTCTGTTTTCTTCATGTCATTGACTCATTCAGTGTGTGCTCGTGTAGAATACGCTGTTTTCCAGGCACAACCAGTGGTCTTATAATGAGTGGTCTTATATGTTGGGGAAAAGAACCTTTTGCATTGAACAGAATAGCTCCAAATAAAAATGAATCTCAGTCAATATTTGTGATCTCTTATTACATGACCTATACTTTGCCTAGAGTAAAAAGAGTAGCTGTAACGTTTGTGCTTTCATTGGGAGAATTTTTCATCCTACTTTAAAATATATTCAATTTGAAAATAGTTCTTGACGTCACTAAGGCACTGCGTTTCTCCGGAAATAAGATTTCTTTCTTTTTTTTTCAATAAGTCATGGAACTGAGTCCGAAATAGGAAGCGACTTGCCTGCGTTTCCATGACGGCAAACCTAGGGCTCGTATGCTGGCGCCTGTCGCAGAGAGCATCAGCTGATTCTCATCGAGAGACTTATGCTTAAAGATTGAAGACTTCATGGTAGTAATTACCAGTGATCCAGCCCTGAAATGAAAATTCGATTCTATGACTAGTTGGGAGCCATTTGTTTGTACACAGACCCTCAGCACAGGTTCGAACCGCCTCGTTCTTGAAGGTCCCCTGGTTGTCAGTGCTGGTGTGACAACTGTGAGTGCTTTGGGGAAAGTCAAAATGGTTTGTATCTTGCTTTTACCCTCTAGTGAAATCTGAGTACATTATTGGTTATAGCTGCAGTACCTATGTTTGCCGTGAATGTGGAGAAAAAGATAAGGCCGAATGCCACAATGCTGAAATAAGAACATTTTAAAAAAATAATTATATGAAAGTCCTCTAAACATGTAAAAATGTTGGCCTATGAGAATAAATTAGAACTCATTGAATCAAAACAGCTTGACAAATAGATCATTGCTCCAAGTAACTGGGAAACCCTTGCCCAAGTGAAGACTAGTTTTCCTGCTTTTTGTAGTCATCAGAAGAAAGTTTTTGGAATTTGATTGGCATTTCTCATGAATCAAATTGCAGTACCCCTCTGCAGATAAGCACGTTGCTAAATATATGGCATGACCTAAATATAATTCTAGGAACCATCTGTTAAGCTCTCCAGTTCCTTACCAGGGTTCTTTCTAAGTTAAAAAAAAAAGATTGCTTCTTTATAGGAGGCTTTAGGCAAAGATCTACTATTTTTTGTTATTTGGACAGAAAGTCCTCTGCAGTGGGGTGGATTATAGAAAAGTTGATGGAAGTAAAATATTTCTAAGTCCTTCATTGATAAACCCAGGGAAATCACTTTCAGGACAAACTCTTTTTTTCTTGAGCTTAGTATTGTGAAGCATAAGGTTGTGTTGAAAAAAATTCCTTTGAGTTGTCAAGGCCATATTCTAAGCAGGCTAGAGAGTTCCAGCACAACTGAAAGGAGGTGCTGATGGACTTCGCCCACATGGAAGTACAGGTGGGACCCACGGAACATTGTAGTACAAGTACCTCATACCAGGTTTTGATCCAAAAGGAGTATAAAAAACTTTCCAAGGTGTATTTTCAGTATTACTTGGGAAAAGTGACATTATTGAAAGTGGTGCTGTAAGTGCATTTAGATACGTCACAAGCTACCTCGTGTCTATTTGTATCTCTTACCACGATACTATCACATTTCCCATCTTCAGCTTTTTTAGCGGGCCCACTCTTTCCACGGAAAGAAGAGCTGCTAGAAATATCACAATATCACGGTCACTGCATGAAGGAGAACAGGGGTCTGATCCACTGTGGACCCCACCCTGGGGGCTTTGGGCAATGTCTGGAGACACTTTGGGGGCTTGGGGGAAGCTCATGGCATCCGGTGGATAGAGGCCCCGGATGTAACTGAACACCCTGCAACACCCAGAATGACCTCACCAGCAAAGAATCATCAGAACGTCAACAGTGCTGACGCTGAACGACCTTGCAGGAGACCCAGCTGACTTCTGGATCCCAGGGGCTCTCAGGACTGACTGACTGAGTGAGGCCATGACCATTAACCAAGCAGGGCGACGACAGGAACACGTGGCAAGAAAAGGACAGCAGCTCAAACGTTTGTTTGATTCTGTCAGAGTTTTACTTCAATCATTGTTTGATGTTCTAAAAAATATTTTGAAACAGTTCAAAAACAGTGGAATTATCTGCTCTTTCAAGGTTTGGTGCAGTTCCTCTGAAATCAAGGCCAGGATATTTTGTGATGTAATTACCATCTTTTAAAGTTGTTAAGTAGAAAAGGGTTCTGTTTGAATTTTTACCATTTCTGGAATCATTTTGGTAAATCATTATATTTTCTCAGAAAATTATATCTATCATAAGCCATCTCTCTCACATACTCTATTTTCCCAGAAAATTGTATCTCTCATAAAAAAAATCACTCGCACATCTGTTTCTGTGCTTTTCTCAGGCATTGGCATCTTGTGATCTTTTTCATCCACCATCCTACCCCCATCACTGCGTGTCAGGCCTTGTCACCTCTCGTCGGAGTTAGAGCCTCTTCTAACTGCTAGTATGCACGGATGTATGTATCTCTTCCTCCCTCCCTCCCTGCTACACGTGACGTCCCTGGAGTCAGTGTCATACCTTATACTCTCATTTATTTTGTTATGTTATCCAAAACCCGCTACGCGGCAGGCTTGCGCGGCACGTGGGGCCAGGCTCTGCTCACAGAGCTTGCGTGGTAGTGGACGGTATCAGACAAGTGACGAATGTGAATAAAACTGTATCAGGCAGTGAGGTGCAGTGAGGAAAAATGAAACTGGATAAAGGGGATAGAGCTAAGACGCCGGGTGCCAGTTTATATGGGCTGATAAATGTTGAGCAGAGACCTGAAAGAAGTGGGGGCAGCCAGCAGGGAGACGGGCTTGGGGCGGGAGTCCTAGTGAGCGCAAAGGCCCTGAGGCCAGGACGGGGCCCGCCGTGTCTGAGGAGCCGTGAGGACGCCGGGCACATGGACGCTCGCCTGAGCCGAGCGGGGTTGGGGGAAGGTGTAGGGAACTGTGCCGGTCCTTGTGTGCATGGAGCTGGTGTGGCGGGAAAGGGGTGCATCCCGTGGACCATTGTAAGGACTTGGATTTTACAGAGTGATGTGAGAAGTTGTAGTAGTTTTTATTTACTTTTATTTTTTTGAGAACAACATGATCTAGACTTCAGATAAATTATTGTGCCTCCTCTGTAGAGACTAGACTATAGCAGACTATTGACTTAGTTGATGATGGAGAGAATGTTAGATCTTGGATGTAGTAGAATTTGGGAAAAGTGGTTGGATTTTGGTTACACCTCGAAGGTTGAACCATCAAGATTTGCATGTCACTTGAATGTGGGATACGATATATCTATTCTTGATTTCTAAGGTTTTTTTGGCCTGGGCAATCTGAATAATGTCAACATTTACTGAAACAGGGAGCATCGAAGAAACAGCAGATTTGGACCAAAAATCAAGAGTTTGGCTTTGGGCATGTTAAAGTTGGGAATGTGACTAGTTACCTAAGTGGAAATGTCAAAAAGCACCTTGGATATTAGATTCTGGAATTTACAAGGCAGGTCTATGCGAAAATTCTTCAAAGGCTCCCCATTGCTTACAAATTCTAAATTCAAGATGTCTTATTTGGCCCCACCCTGCCTTGTAACTCTCATGTCTTACTACTACTACCTTACATACACCAAGGCTGACAGGCTTTCTTATTTTCTAGAATGTGCTGGATTTCTTTGCCATTTTGATGCTGTTGCCAGTGCCCGGAATGCCTGTGATCTTGATCTGCCTGTTGGAATATTATCTGATCTGACTTTACGAGGAAGAACGGAAACGTCACGTTCAGCTGGTGATGGCCAGTGAACGGACTCCTGTCTTTTACGTGTCCATTTTAACCTGTGGCACAGTCTGCTTTCTCTTCTCCGTGATGGAAAAAGTTCACTTTTGTTTTATTTTCAGATGGGAACATTTAAAGCCCACGATGGTGACTATTTCCTAGAGCCCCTGATGAAGGCGGATGGGAGTGGGCATGAAGATGATTCCAGCCAGCCGCATCTTATATACAGACGGGAACTAAAGAGGAGCTGTTTGCTGCCGTCTCACAAGCCTTGTGAGGTTTCAGGTAAAATATGAACTAAAAACTCTATCTGGTGGAATTTGATACTATTTAATCTTTTCCTAGGTTAGACTTTATGTATTTTCCTTAAATATATTTTAAACGAATTTTCTTGACCTGTAAGGGTCCGTTAGAAACCATCTAATGTCTGTAGGCAATTTTATAAGTGAAAATCCAGACAAATATTCAGTATGAGTTTTGTAGCAAATAATCACAGAAAATTTTTGCTTCAGCCTATTAGACACACTACTATGATTTTTATTCTCAGCAGAATTTTAGATAATTCAAAAAACTGAACTAAGGTAACAATAACACATTGCTCGATTTTGCATTGCTTTTAACTTTATATAAAGGAAGCTTATATAGTTTTGACTTTTTTGCTCAGCACTGTTGGAAGTTCATCTACAATGGTGCACGTAGCCACAGTTCATTTTTGTTGCTGGACAGGAGGATGTCATAGTTCAGGTATCCATTTTTTCTGTTGATGAACTCCTGGGCTATTTGTAGTTTTTACGCTATTATAAACAATGCTTCTGTGAGTGTTCTTGTCCCCATCTTCTGTGTTTGAGTTTGTATAGTGTATACACATAGGTTCTAGAGAATTCCACATTGTTTTTTTTAATCAATTTACATTTCCAACAATATGAGAAGTACGCTTCCATTTTTTCCTATAAAATTCAGACTAAAGATTTATAATAGATCAGAATCTAGGAATCATTGTTTTCTGTAAGGTACAAATCGACTGCTTGTAAAATCCTTGCATGTTGCCTATAAATTGTATTAAGAGTCAAGTCCACATATGTACACGGATGTTCACTGTATCATTGTTTGTCCTTCTGTGAAGGAGGCAGAAATGCACCGTCAGTCACCAAAGTCCAAAATCCAAGCAGAAGAGTGGGATTGGGAGGGATTTGCATGAGATGGTAGGTGTCCACGACCTGTAGTTTCACACACTGCTGTGCCACCTGCTCTGGGGCATGAGGGTGTGCAGGCCTTGGCAGGTTTTCCCTGGAAATGCACTTCTTAGCCTTCCTCTTCTAAGAGTGCCATTCTGGAGTGGTTCTCACTGTGTCTAAAGCCGTGTTTTAAATCTATTGACACAATAGATGCCTTTCCTATGCTTTTAATATGAGCACAAGGGTTTCATTTTTATGTCTTCAAAGAAAACAAATGGGTGCAACTTCTGTGAATCCTGTGGAGCAGAACCACCTCACGTCATGAGCTCTGTGATTTTCAAAGTCAAATCCACACCCGCAGTCCCTTCTCGCTGACGCTCAGAGTGACTCTGAGCTGCCGTCACCCTCAGCTTACGACGTGTTCTGTGAGGGGCTCAAACCTGGCTGTTGTTAGTCCCCCACACAGGCTCCTCACTAGGCGGCCCACTTAAAAATTCAGACTAAAGATTTATAATAGATCAGAATCTAGGAATCATTGTTTTCTGTAAGGTACAAATCGACTGCTTGTAAAATCCTTGCATGTTGCCTATAAATTGTATTAAGAGTCAAGTCCACATATGTACATGGATGTTCACTGTATCATTGTTTGTCCTTCTGTGAAGGAGGCAGAAATGCACCGTCAGTCACCAAAGTCCAAAATCCAAGCAGAAGAGTGGGATTGGGAGGGATTTGCATGAGATGGTAGGTGTCCACGACCTGTAGTTTCACACACTGCTGTGCCACCTGCTCTGGGGCATGAGGGTGTGCAGGCCTTGGCAGGTTTTCCCTGGAAATGCACTTCTTAGCCTTCCTCTTCTAAGAGTGCCATTCTGGAGTGGTTCTCACTGTGTCTAAAGCCGTGTTTTAAATCTATTGACACAATAGATGCCTTTCCTATGCTTTTAATATGAGCACAAGGGTTTCATTTTTATGTCTTCAAAGAAAACAAATGGGTGCAACTTCTGTGAATCCTGTGGAGCAGAACCACCTCACGTCATGAGCTCTGTGATTTTCAAAGTCAAATCCACACCCGCAGTCCCTTCTCGCTGACGCTCAGAGTGACTCTGAGCTGCCGTCACCCTCAGCTTACGACGTGTTCTGTGAGGGGCTCAAACCTGGCTGTTGTTAGTCCCCCACACAGGCTCCTCACTAGGCGGCCCACTTTGGTTGGTGCGCTGCTTCCCGTAACAGGACGCACACGTGAGTTTCATCATTCATCCCAAGGAGAAGAGTCGGTCTGCCTTCTGCTGCTGGGTTCGTGTCATCCCATCCGTGGCGATGACACACAGTTTTGATGTCCTGTTTTGTCTGTGAGGTCTTATATCCTCTAGTTTTATTTCCATGAGGTTGATTCCCCATCACTGTGAAGAGGTGAAATGGGCAAATGAGAAAGGACATCATGTGCTGGGAACCAGAGGGTCTGTTCATCCAATCAGGTGCATTTTGAAAACATAACATGGAAGGTGACTTCAGTCCCTTACACTTTAGGTGTGGCCACAACAGTCCTTGTGGAAAGATGACCTGTCTACTGCTAAGAACGAGGTCCATCTAAACCTTCCTTTACACAAGGACTCTGTGTTTCACACTACATTGCTAGACTGCAGCATGTTTTGTGGGTAGAAATAATTCATTCTTTTCCAGTTTGAAGCCAAGTTTTTTTCCCTTGATGTTTTCTCTGTGCTACCTTGGAAGTGAATAGGAGAGAATTAAGAATGTTAAGTTATGAGAAGCTATCATAGTTACAACCCCTAATTGAAGAGTGAGCTTATGCCAGGGTCTTGAATGTAATGGTGCCAAACTAATTTTCATGATTCTGTTATGATTTGATTATTAATAAAAATTAGATCTTCTCATTTGTTGCGAGGAATTCTAATGTCTTTTTTCCGCGTATGTGAACTGATTCACGTTCAGGTGTTCATCAGGTCTGTTGAGGGACGGAGACTGTAACCTCAATTGAGATACACCATGTGTCTGTGCCTCTGTCCTGCTCCATTGAGAACTTTCTTTGGTTTCAGAGGTCCGCTTGCCATTTGAAATTCCTGTACAGGATTTTTAGTCACTTTATGTCTTGGTAAAGTTCCGAGGCATTTTTACTCGGCAGCGATGTAAGCCTCCACCGCTAGAATTGAATGCAGCTCCATTTTCCCTGATAACAGCGCTCGTTCCTCGGCGATCTACGGCTTGTGTTCCCTGCGGCTCATTTCATGTCCTTAGTCACTTATCCTTTAACAAATTCTTCCTTAATCTTTTTCTTCCACAGTGATGTCTCATTAAATTTAAAAAAATCCTTTGCTTTACATATAAGTTGATTTAAATGCTTCAGGCACTCTTCATTTATGGAGAAAAATGTGAATGGAATGTAGTTTTTAGCTCTTTTACTAATTGTGCTTTCTTACTTTTGCTTTGCTAAAAATTGCTATTCAGTTATTTTATAATTAGCATTATCCTTCTGTGGTTATTATATACCTGCTAATAATTTTAGAAGACGAACAATGTGGGTTTTGGATTCTCTGATGATAGAATATCTCACAGCTTAGGGCCCATGCTATTTATTGTGCAGGTCATTAATGCTGTCTTGCATTGTCCTTAACTTTTGTCATATGACTCTGCTATCCTACCTGTTAGTTTTAAGATTGTGTTTATGTTCCTTAAAGTAAAAGGTTACATTTTATTTCATTTTTCACATTCTTCACAGCAGCTAATCTGGTGATATGGCTATAATAACTGCCGTGTTAACAGTGAGGAACTGTGAGTAGTAACTCCTCTGTGCCGGGCAGCCTTGTACGGTGAAGCTCCTACCGGAGGTTCTTGGGGCCCCATTGGAGGGCCTTGCTCAGGTGGGGGAGTCACAGGAGGCTGGCTTGAGAAGGTAACTCATTATCTAAGACTCAAGGCGAGTGGGGATTAGCGGGGAAAGGGAGAGGGAGAGAAACGGTCCAGATGGAAGCACAGCATGTGCAAACCCCTGGAGATGAGACGGAGCCTGACCCACACGGGGAGCCGAGCCTGAGGCGCCGTGTGGTGTGCTGGTTCGGAGGTCCGCAGGGTGGCTCACGGACCCTGTGTAAGACTCATGCAGGGGATTGGGCTGTAACTCAGCAGTGGGCACTGGGAGTCCTCTCCCTGAGGAATTCAAACTAAGGTCCTGGTATAGGATCCGGTCATTTTGTTTGGCCTGAACCAGTCGTCGTTCCTGGAGGCAGAGCTCTAACTGGCCGGGCGCATCCTGCTCATGGGGTCTGGCCAGTGTGACTGGGGCTGTAGATTACATGCGGGTGGGGGTCTGCCTGGGGAGAAACTGGGACTGCGAGCAGCTAGATGAGTGACGATGGGTGGGCAAGACGAGGGTGTGCATGAAGGCTGGGCGCTCATGAACGTGAGAAATGTTCCGGGCGCCCCTGAGCACTGCAGAAGGAGCTGCTGACACCTGGCGAGAAGCGTGGAGTGCTGGGGACTTTGACAGACATTAATAGGTTCACAGCTGAACTTCATTTGTGCTGAAAGACATGGAATGGATAGAGGCCTGAGATTTTAGTAATTAAGATACAGGCTATGATAAAAGAAAGAGAACCAGTGATAATTTTAACTGAAAACTCTGTTACATTAACTGAGATCTTTTCTGCTGTGGTTGGTATTCAATAATTTTGCATATATTCCAGAAGATTGGGATTATCTGGTGACCATCCCCCATTTTTTTTTTTTATTTGGGGCAAGGGGGAGTGCATGTAGAAAAGCCAAGCTAATATTTAGGTTATGATTTTCAAAATCTGATCATGCAACAAGAAAATGAAAGAAATGTCTGAATTTATCTTGCTTAATGTATCCTCCAGCCCTGGAGGACTGCTCATAGCATTTAGCTGGAGAGAGAAAATTTGTGGTGTAGGATAAATAAAAAACCTTCCCTTTCTGTTTCCCACCTCCTGCTGCCAGGAGAAGAGAGGGAAAGCAGGGGATTGTGGTGGTGGGCATGGCGTGCCCGGCTCTCACCTGCTCCGTGCTCTGGGCCGGGGCTGGGTGTCTGCGTAAGTGAAGAAAACTGGGAGGGACTCTGGGGACACGTTAATGTCTTTG